GAACTAACTCTATTTGGTATGTACATTATAGGATATGAAACCTATTTCGGACTCAGCATGCTAATTCATTTGCCATCTGTGTCCATACTAAATCAGGAAATACAACCTTCTATAACTTTTTCTAGAAATCTCATTGAAAACTTTTCAATACATCACACGAAAGCCTTAGTTTCTGGACAAAAATTTATTATATAAAATAATTACCTTTATTTCAGGTACAAGAAAGTCGCAGTAAAAGTGACTCTATGTCAGACATTAATGGAATCCAGGTAGAATTATCAAAGGAAACTTTAGAAACTATGTTAGATGGACTGTCGAAAATAAGAGATCAGTTGAATTCGGTAGCTCAGAGATGATTACAGAATATTGAAATCGTTATTCCAAGTTAATTTCACCTTTCCCTCACAGTGCAAGATAAAAAAATATCAAAAATGCATCCTGAAAATTGTTGTTACACAGAGTTTACCTTATGTGTAATTTAATGAATTATAAACACAGGTAAAAAAATTTGTCATGATTCTGTTGGAATATTAGAAATATTAAATGAAGACCTTATTAAATGTTTGTTTATGTGTCGTTGCGATGTAGGGTAATGTATTTCTATAAAAAGAAGCAGTTAATCTTCAAAGTTCCAATGATATTTCAGTAGGATATTTTCATGCATTTGGGTGATGTCTTGTATACTGGTACATCCCTGGTATCAAGTATATACCAGAATGCAGTCTAATTAAATATAGGCCAAACTCTCGTTCCGTTTTTTATTTGCTTTTATATTTAATATAGCCACTTCAGTTAACCGTCTTCATTAGCCCACAAGGTGCAGAAAAGTAGGACGTAAAACTCCATTCATTTTATTTCAGTTACGGTTTACTGACAGCCCCCTTGAACGTTCATCAAATTATTGTGATGTGGTGATAATCAGGTTAGGTCAAAAGGATAATTTTATGAACGTTTAATACGGCTGTTGTTAGACCCTAACTGAAGAGGCTTTGTTAAAAATAAAAGTTAAAAAAAAACAACGAAAGTTTGGTCTAATTTTAATTACAATTACACAAGAATGTTATATCATTTCACTGATATATCATGTTCACTAGGATGTGCAGGAATTTTGTAAAACAACAGGCCGTGTATTATCGAAACGCTAATAGCGCTTGGATGTCCTAGGGTCCTAACTTCTAACACTGTTTCTAGGATATCCTAGTGCTAAGATCGCAGCATAAGGTTATAACATTTTTAGTAGATGAATATTTAATTTATATGTAATATATTTTGTTATTGTTATTTGATAATAAATCATATATTTCTATTTTGTGTTTCAATCTCAATTTTCAAACCATATTATAAATTCCAATCTTACTGTGTGATGCTACTTGAATACGCCCCTTTAAAAATCGCAAACCACAATAGATCCGATATTCATAATATTGAATATACAGCATATATTTTCGATCGAGAGGTTTTGCCAAGAACCAGCTGGTAGAAAGGATCCTTAATTGTGAGCTTAAGTTGTTATCCTTGTAAAATATAAGTTGTTTCTTTCTTTTCTTTAATATTCAAAGGTCTGTATCATGTAGAAATTGGCATCAATTAGACAAATAGATAAATCAGAAGTATTCACTGTTGTAGCAAAAAAAGGTTTTCACTATTCTAAGAATGGATGAAATCCAAAGATATTTTACATTGCATTCAGAAAAATACATCTAAGTTTTAAGCAATCGCAAAAACTGTCATCAAAGTGAACATAGATCAATTATTTTTTGGGTTAAAAACTATTCAAACAAGAAAATGAAACCTGAAATCCAAAACAACAGTTTAGCATTGCACATGTAGCAGATAATGAACTATTAATATGAGGAAGTATATCAACTATAAATGATCTGCCACAACTTGCTGGTCTAGATATGGGTTTATTGCACTTGACCGTACTCTCTCACCTGACAATATAATGATAATATGATCCAATGAGAATGTTAGTCACATTTTGCCCAAAGGGGAAATTTCCCCAGAGCAGATCACATGCTTGACAACACAAGTATTGGTGGCCATAATTTGACAGCATGGAAAATGTCACCCTAGCAATTTTCGAGACAGGTTGAATTATGTCCTCTTTTGATACAAGGTGAACAACTGCCAAAGTTTTCATGGTTAGTAGGCTGGGTTGAACACTGACTCTTAAAAAGAGTAACCAATCATTTTGACCTGTAAGGTGACCAGGCTTCAAACTCTTCGGCAAAATTAAACAGTACTCAAATGCCTGTGTAATCTAAGAGAAGTATACCTATTTCAGTAACCTTTCAGACTTTTTGAGAGTACAACCCAGTCAATCAACTCTTGTCTCTTTTCCCCTTCAAAACCAGCCTACTCTTATATCTTTTTTTCCTCCTTCTACTGATCTGCTTCACCCCAAAGACCAGATTTTCCCGCCACACATTTGAATAGTGAATTGTTCAGTAGGTTATCTCAACTGGGGTTTATGAGGTGCCCAATAATTAGCCAAGCCAGA